CCCCCCGATTTGGAAACCTGTGGATTTGTCATGTTAAATTAAAGACCAAAAATTTTTCACCCCAAAGCTTTTACTAAAACAAAGCTACCAGTGAAATCAAGAAAAGATGTTTCCTTAGCAAGCCCCAGTGGTTTTTAAACTGAAAGTTTTAGTTATTTGCTTTATTCATGTACGACTATTAGAATTGCTTCATGAAAAAGAATACTGTCCTCTTTGTGGTTGCAAATGACCATCTTTTCACTCAGAGCAAAATCCCTCAATGCAGACCATTAAGACACAACAGAGGATACAATGCATTTAATAACTACTTTATTTACCTTGATGTGATGATAAGATGACTGTCCAATAACTATAAGCCTCACATTTGCTTCCTAGAACAGAACATGGGTATTGAAACTGTAAAGAGGAGCTTGGTGTTTCTGCATGGCTGCAAAACATTATCAGAGTCTGTTGTCCTGAGTTAAAATTATTTGAAATTAACATCGCTTACATATTTGGAGCCTGCACCTTTGTCTATCACCTACAGTTAGCAGCTACATTAATTTATTAAATGAAAAAATGATTTTTAAAGATACTTTTAAAGTTACAGATGTGTAAACTTTTAAGTTTTCTGTAGCATAATCTTTTCAATTGATTGCAACCTGCTATGGTTTTGGAAATTCAAAATTTCCACTCAGTTGCACCTGCATCTAAAGAAGCAGCATGCAAATATTGGTGCACATACAAGTACATCTGTGATTTACATATATGGATGCTCATTAATAGATCTAACTTGCATCTGCATGTACTGCTGTCTTTTGCAGGTGCAACATTAGGCCTGAGTCTAAAATAGAGACCAAAACGTTAAGTTCCTTTAGATGCCAGTAAAATGCTTAATAAAATTTAAGGTTGTTTTAATATTAAGGTAAAATACTTGCCTTTCCCACATAGAATCATTTTGCTTGTTATGAAAAGAAACCCTCCTAAAACCAGAATACTCACACTAAGAAAAGCATGAATGGTTTTGATTCTCTGTATAGATTTATTTGAGCAGCCAAATTAAGAAAATGTTATTCTGAGTAACACTGATCAAGCTGCTCGGAAAAAATCTGTCCTGAGAAGGGGAGCTGACAAAGAAATTGCCCAAGTTCCTAGTCTATCTAAGGCTTGCTGTCAGCAAGGAGCTGAGTCTTTGTCATCAGCTATGCTGCTGTTGGGAATAAAATACGACAGAATTTCAATCAGCAGCCTTGAACAGACAGATTGACCTTCCACATTTAGCAGGGGATCATTGTCTTTCTGTGGTATCTCCTACCACCCAACAAATACCCATCCATAGCAACCTCTGCCCACTCCATTTCTCCTTTCTGTCACTATGTCACTCCTGTTTGTGCAGCTGCCTGGAGAACAGGTCACACAACTGATGCAGCTTACAAATAACTGTAGAAGAAGATACTATTTTTAATCCAGATCAATTTCCTGAACTTGTTCCATGCACAACCATCAGTCGGCCATACAGGCATAATGGAAGAAAGAGCTACTGCCCTTTTGTTAGTTAGTGGTCGGGAGAAGACAGCTGCCCAGGCTACTACTAATACCAAAAGAAATGCCTGTCAGGTGTTGTCTAACTGTTCAGAACACAACAGAAAAAACAGCACCCAGCTAATGGGGCAGGGAGAAATAATGCTGCTGCAACAGAGCATGTAGTGTAATAAATCCTTTCCTGCATCTCCTAGGCAGGAAAGGCCATTAAGGCTATTGTAGCAAACAATGAAAGCGCTAACTTTCTTCTGAGCCTTTTTTTGATTCCTAGAAGGTTTAAGCCTCACGCGAGCCTGCAGCGGGATGTAACAAATCTGCTCGACTACAGCAAGCCCATGTAGGTATTGAGGGCAGAGTACTCACTTGTAAAAACGCCTCGGGGACTTTTGCCAGGTCTTCTACATACTCCTTACAGGTGTAACATAAAAAATTCTGCAACATAGCCAGTTGGACGTGTCAGACACAGACATAATTGCTTAGCAATGAAGCATCAGACTCTGACCTGTGGCCAAAACCATTTTGGAGGTGATCGGGAACTGGGGAGAGGGAAGATGGCAGTTCTCTGAAGTCACCAAATTTGGATTAGGATTCCAGTTTAATCCAAGCCTGAACAAGGACACCGGGCTTGGGGCCTTGCTAGTATTTTTATCTCTGGATATTTTAGGAACGTGGGTCTGGCCTGCCAGCTAGGGAATCGGGGGACACACCATACTTGTTTCCCTAAACTCACGGTTGGAGAATTGTTTCCTTCCAGGTGACGACTGCATCATTCCACCCAGGAACGGGCGTTCTTCGAAGCAGACCCGACCTGCTCCGTGCTCTCCTTTCTCTCTAGGGCTCCAGCCTAGCTCGAGTCAACCCCCCGCGCCGCCTCCCCAGCCCCGCTCGCAGCCGA